TACCAAAGGTTTATAAAAATGGTACTAAAAGCTGCCTCACTAGGTGCTCAGCATTAAGAGGTTAGTTTCTACCTGGTGTCAGGAAAATGTGACTAGGTGGAACATCATGCTACATGTCTGTGGCTAGATATCACTTTAAACTGAGACATTGCAGACATCGTAGCAATATGACTGAAAAATTGTTAAAGCTACATTAAAAATCCAAATCACACACACATACATACATACATATATACATACATACATACATACATACATACATACATACATACATACATACATACATACATACATACATACATACATACATACATACATACATACATACATACATACACACACACATACACATCAACAATTATAACATGCTTTATATAAACCTTGTGGGATTACTGTTTCTGAAATATAATTTGAGCTCAAAGTGGCATTAGAATTACTTATGAAGAAAGTATCTTACCAACAACTACATTTTTTTTACATGTTTGATAAGTAGAATCTCAGATCTTTATCCTGTGCAAATGTGATAAAAGTTTAATTATTTGTACAGTTGTTATTTGATGAGGACTTATAGAGAGGACATTGTTTTCAATAATTTTCTGTGTAATGACACCTACATGAGAATAGATATTTAAATAAGCAATAGCACTACAAAATACCAATGATCCTGTACATATTTTGGTGGTTAGTATTTCTTGGCCACTATGTAAAAAAATCCATTTGTAAAATACATTAAAACTACAACATTTCACCAGCAATCATTAAATTAGTGAAACAAACCATTGACAGATATAGCATTCAGTTTTTTGTTTTATTTTTCAAAATAATTATAGCAACCAGAAAAATCAATGTAAATTGGTACTCCATGAATGAAAATGAACAATTTGTCATTCTTTGTGATCTTAAGATGGCATGCCTGTACTACTGTATCTTAAGATGGCATGCCTGTACTACTGTATCTTAAGATGGCATGCCTGTACTAATATATCTCTGCTTATCCTGATGATCTGTTAACATTTTCTTATTTTTATTGAAAACAATGAGACATTGAGTGCTATTTTCCAGTTATTTTTATTTATATGTTTAAGAAAACAATGTGATTTTAACAATTCAATAAAAGGTGTCTTGTTTAATGCAACATATATAATCAGTTTGCTGTACTTTGACTGCCCATATACTTGAAAACATGAAAAGCCAAGGACAAATCTTGCCTGAGTTGAATAAGTACTTAACAGAGCATGTACATTATTATGATTCTTTTAAAATTGTGTTCTTTGTTACCTTGATTTTTACATGCATCTGATTTAATGCTTGTCCAAACAGAAGAAACATCCAATTTCAAGGCTGTCTAGAGTAAGATAATAGTTACAATTTGCTTTCTGTGGGTGAACAGGTACATGCAAGGGCCAGCTTTACAATCCCATGCACATCATAAGGTAGTTGATTCTGAATGGGAGCCATTCACATCCTAGACTGCTAAATCTACATAAAAACACCAATGTGTTAATTCCTCAAAACTGTTTATGAGTTATTTAGGTATATAGCAGAATTTTTACAAATTCAAAATGTCTGGAAAAATTTCCAGAGTATGTCATAAGATAACCAGAAAAATCATGTAAGTTCCTAATTGTCTGCATATTCAAAATTGTAAGGAAATTGAATTTTACAACCAGTCAAGGGACAGCAAACAGACTATACCAAGTAGTATCGATACTGTCCTTTTATTGTCCTCAGTTATACCAATTTGGTGTGTTGTCTGTCAGCTTAAAATCAGGACACGCTATCTAATATTGAAAAGGTACCAGGGAGGTTAGGATTTCTTTGAAGCATGCTGTTTGTTACCCATAAAAGAAATGGACATTTGCTTCATACAATTATATGGGATATGTGAATTTTGAAGTGGGTGAGAAGGCAAATAAAAGTAAAGATTAAAGACATTTCCTATCTAAAATGGACCAAATAAAATGAACCATCCACCCCTCAGCAGTGAAAATATGCATAGCCCATTCCAGCACTTATCAAGAGTGTTGTGAAGATAATACGGGTTGTCTTTAATAGTTTTTCTACAAGCATAAATATTTTTGAAGTCTGGAAGGGAAATTTTTTGTTTGAAAAAGCCTTTTGATGTATTTAATTTATTAGTCTTTTTGTTTATTTCATTGTTAAATTGATTTTAATATATTCAAGATTTAATACCCATGTTGCAGATTGCAATCAGTTTGTCACTTTGACTTTTGAACTTGTTTTTGTTATAATTTTCAAGCACAAAAATTTTACATTTTCAAATACTTATATGTTCAGTCTATATGTTGCATGTTTAAAGATTATATTCATGTATACTCTGAGTATTACAAGTCTAATGATATTCAGTTACACTCTGTATGTGATTATATTCATGAGCACTCTTGAATATTACAAGTCTAGTGATTATATTCATGTGTACTCTGAGTATTACAAGTCTAATGATATTTAAGTGTACTCTGAGTATTACAAGTCTAATGATATTCAGTTACACTCTGTATGTGATTATATTCATGAGCACTCTTGAATATTACAAGTCTAGTGATTATATTCATGTGTACTCTGAGTATTACAAGTCTAATGATATTTAAGTGTACTCTGAGTATTACAAGTCTAATGATATTCAGTTACACTCTGTATGTGATTATATTCATGAGCACTCTTGAATATTACAAGTCTAGTGATTATATTCATGTGTACTCTGAGTATTACAAGTCTAATGATATTTAAGTGTACTCTGAGTATTACAAGTCTAATGATATTCAGTTACACTCTGTATGTGATTATATTCAGATGAACTCTTGAGTAATATAAGTTTAATGATTATTCATGTGCACTGTATTACAAGTCTAATAATATTAATTTACACTCTGTATGTGGTTATATTCAGATGAACTCTTGAGTATTATAAGTTTAATGATTATTCAGGTGCACTGTGAGTATTACAAGTCTAATGATATTCAGGTGCACTCAGAGTATTACCAGTTTTGTGGGACATAAATGCCCATAGCAAAAAAAATTTAAGGGAACAATGGAGTGACAAAACCTGTCAAGTGTTTTATGTTTTGCATTATAAAGAATATGTAACATAACCAAGAGATTATTGTGTATAATTATGCTGTTTTTATCACTGGGTTTTATATATGATGGTGGCAATATTTGTGTCATATGTACTTATAACTCAAACTCAACTGCAAACTGTGCAGACCCATATCTGCCATTGCATAATGTGCCAGCAGATTTGGATCTATTTATTTAGGAGTAATCAGCTTGAATTAATTGGCTTGTTTGTTGTTAGGTCATATTGGAAAGGAAACAGATATGACTGAATATAAAACCATGTAAAACCTTCATAGGCCTACTTCTGAAAAGAGATTTTTCTATATGAAAATAGACTCATCCACATGACCTTTGAACTTCTGTCAGATCATTGTATGCTTATTGCATCTTGACTGGCATTAAAGTTGAACATGCATACAGCTGATTGTCCAAACAGAAGAAACAGTCAAGAACAAGAGAGAATCAAAATAACACTTCACTGAAAGCATATTGACACAAATTTAACAAGACTTGGCAAGCTAACAGTTCTATATACCATATCAGTTTCTGTTTCAGTGTTTGTCTCTTGGCTTTACATTTGTTCATTCAGATGTTTAAACTTGGAAAAAATACATGAGCATATGCCAATATTTGTATGTGATGATTATGATTATACCAATGTGATGATTATACCAATGTGATGACTATACCAATGCAATGATTATACCAATGTGATGATTATACCAATGCGATGATTATACCAATGTGATGATTATACCAATGCGATGATTATACCAATGTGATGATTATACCAATGTGATGATTATACCAATGGGATGATTATACCAATGGGATGATTATACCAATGTGATGATTATACCAATGGGATGATTATACCAATGGGATGATTATACCAATGGGATGATTATACCAATGGGATGATTATACCAATGGGATGATTATACCAATGGGATGATTATACCAATGGGATGATTATACCAATGTGATGATTATACCAATGTGATGATTATACCAATGGGATCATTATGATTATACCAATGTGATGATTATACCAATGTGATGATTATACCAATGGGATCATTATGATTATACCAATGGGATGATTATACCAATGGGATGATTATACCAATGTGATGATTATACCAATGGGATGATTATACCAATGGGATGATTATACCAATGGGATGATTATACCAATGGGATGATTATACCAATGGGATGATTATACCAATGGGTTGATTATACCAATGTGATGATTATACCAATGGGATGATTATACCAATGTGATGATTATACCAATGGGATGATTATACCAATGGGATCATTATGATTATACCAATGTGATGATTATACCAATGTGATGATTATACCAATGTGATGATTATACCAATGGGATGATTATACCAATGTGATGATTATACCAATGCGATGATTATACCAATGTGATGATTATACCAATGGGATGATTATACCAATGTGATGATTATACCAATGTGATGATTATACCAATGTGATGATTATACCAATGGGATGATTATACCAATGGGATGATTATACCAATGGGATGATTATACCAATGTGATGATTATACCAATGGGATGATTATACCAATGTGATGAATTTACTGATTTGATGATTATACCAATGTGATGATTTTACAAATGTGATGATTTTACCAATGTGATGATTATACAGATGTGATGATTATATCAATGTGCTGTTTATACCAATGTGATGATTATACCAATGTGCTGTTTATACGAATGTGATGATTATACCAATGTGATGACTATACTAGCTTGGACTCTTTAGGCAAAAATACCAATACTGTAAGTATGTAAACTAAGATCAATGGCTTCACAGATGACTACGATTCTGAATGGTGTTGTTTTGTCAGTGGTTAGTAGACCAGCTTTTGTTTT